TTTTTATTTCATATTTTCTAAAGATGTGGAAATGGCACCAAAAAAACACGTGAGAGCTGTAACCAAGACAACTGTAACAACAGGAGTAGAGAGCCACCAAGGTTTTTCAAGTCCCTCTCTTACTCCATTTTGCCAACCCAAACTTCCAGGTACATGACGGGACACCTTGCTTGTTTTTGTTGTTTGCTCTCCTCTGGCAGGTGGAGGGCAGTGATCCCTTCCCTTCTTCCCTCAATCTTTGAGACTAATGTAAGTAGAAGACATGGCACTGTAAATGTTTGAACATTTAAAATATTATACCACTTAAAAATAAGAAATATTACTTTTGTTACTAAGAGTTCATACTTATTATACCTGTGTCACCTTTCACACTATCGCTGTGATCATGAGCTATGGGCTTTGTAGATACAGGTCCCGGGGTGAATCGTGGTGCAGGGGCCCTTCTCTTTTTGACCACAGGGCGATGCACGAAGATGGTGGGTATAGCCTCTGCTCTCAGCCTAGTCTTGCCCTTTTTTGTCTTGACAAACTGGTCTGCATCAAAATGTGCCTGCGGAGTGACTTGAGGTTACTTCACACACAGAACAACTCAGTTTTGTCTGCCCACATACATATTCCATAGTGGTTGAATACACAGTATTAGGAAACACTTTATACTTACTGGACATGTTATACTCATTACATACTGTATATACAATATGACCAAGAATGTGAGACAACTTTATAGAAATTCATATCACATATGTTACTGATGCCATTTGTCATACTTTGTTAAACTCACAAATAATAAAGTTCCATAACTTCAGTTGGGAACAAAGACCACACCTTATCTCCCCAAGGCAATTCCCCATCCAATAGGTGTGCTGTGTGTGTATAACCCTTTCTCCTGTCTGTTTATCCCTCTTTCAGCACAAGAACCAGAGGGGGATTCAATGGAGCCTGAATACCTGCACTGAGACCCTCACCCTGCACCCTGAGTATCAACTCTGTGTTTTTCAAGCCTTTCCCTGTTTTTTGTATTAAACAAAACATTAAGCTTTCCCAATGGTGGGGTTTTCGTTTTGTGAAAAAGTGCAAATGCAGTGTTTGTATATAAATCACATATTTGTTTGCTGTTGGTCGTGAAATTGCTCCTGCTTCCTCCGCTCTGTGTCAGTGGGGAAGCTGTACATTCGTACTCCTTTCTCTGAGCGATTGGAGCATCCCCAGGCAGCACAGCAAACCATGGTGGCGACTAGGAGGCAGCACAGCAAACCAGGACAACAAGGAGGAAAAGGCACAGACAAACTGCATGATATGCTATTCAATGTTTATTGAATTCCATGTATTTGCAATGGATGTTCCTAAAACAACACATTTAAGATCATCATCATCATGCTGCTGCTGCTGCTAGTCCTTTGATAGTCACCTGTCGGTCTCCTGTCCTTTCTGAAAGCCATAAAGATGACATTAGTCATTTAGATAACTTGTGTCCTCAATTACCATGGGATTACTGAAACTACCATGAATTTAAGAAAATGGTAGATGCAGATGAAACTTCTGTGTAGCTATGCAGTGGGAGTCACCGACTCAGGAAGGAGACACGGTAGGAGCAGTAGCTTTGATGTCAAACACTGATGGTTTATTTGGAGTTACGGCCGGAGGATTCACATCACAAGTCCAAGAGTCAGAGGTTCTGACTTCACGGTAGAGTTGCCACGTCAATTCTGGAGAGCCTCTCTCTTGCCAGCCCATCTAACTGGTTTCGCAGAGAGTAAACAACATATTTGAGAAGATAGCCTAAACAGTGTGGGAACACTGAGCTACTTGCGTCGGACACTTATGACCTCGAAGATTTCACCTTGGAGTCCACAAATACAGAGAAGGAAGTGTCCCAGTGTACCCACAACACAGACCATCTGTGACCCAGTATTGACCGGTCACAGAATGGGAACAATAACATTATTGGCTAAGCAGCCTGTGTCCTTAAAGAAGGTAAACAGACATCAAGGTTTGTCCTGTATGTTACAAATTGGCGTCTATGATAATTATTTCCATAACAGTAGACATTAATCTAATCTGAATTTTAAAGCATTACTTTAGATCCCCTCCCTCTAAATATATCAATAAACATTAGAAAATGATGCTCCTGACTACCATACAAGTTTAATAAGATAATATTGGTTTTAAAGAATTCAAAGCTATAAATAAACAGCAACAGGCTCTTTAACCAAGGCACTGTTAGCCTAACATGTAAACTAGTTGTTCACACTAATCCTAATATTATCACTTAATATTAGCAAATTCTATTTTATTTTTTAAAACATATTGATGTAAATACATACACATATCGATTTGTTGTATAAATATTGCAAATCAAAACCTTTATTCACTAATAATTACCAAAAATCGTAGTTCTATCTCCTGTTATCAATGCATTCACATTGCCCGCCATGAACTTCCGGGGAACGATCCTCTTCTACATGAACCACGTGATGATAACCGTTTTTGGACTTCCGTTGTCGTAACTCTTCTATTATACGGCTCTGAGTCGCATGTTATAGAGAGGCGAAGTCCCTCCCCTTCCGGTGGACCTCCATGGAACCTTATTTCGTAAAAATTATGTATTGAAGTCAATGGAGAGAGAAAGATTATCTTTCGATCCCGTTTGAATTGTGCCACGAATTACACATATGATGTTTGTCAATTTAAAAGATAATTTTGCAAGTCAAAAAAATAAAAATGTGTCGTAAAACTGAAGTAACACATTTGTTTGTGTGAAACGCTCAATGAACTACAACTCCGGTCTAGCAGAACAACACACGTCACCAAGATGGCCGTCACTACGGTCTTGTCAACAAAACGATTGACTACCCTCACTATCACCACAATGAAACACGTCCTGAAGAATGTCATGCAAAGCTGCCTGCCTTCCTTTGATTCTCTCGGAACTGCCTGGTCTTTTTAATGTTTAATGTCAACCATTTGTGCAGATAGCATGAAGTAGAAAAGATCGGCGATCGCCGATGCTAATGTAGCGTTAGCATTTCTCCCCCGGGCTTAAATTGTGTATTATAGAATGATCACACCGGTGACAGTACTCTTCAAAGGGTTCACGAAATATGACTACTACTCTTACTGTTTAACATGTTGGGTTACTTAATGTTACTTCATGTTAAGGCTAATACAAATGACAAGGCTGTAATGCTAACAAACGTGCTTGCTACTAGCTAGGTAGCTAACTTGATCCAGCCACTGCTGGTTCTTTCATCAGACGGGAAGCGAAAGAACGAGCAAGACCCATTGCTGGTATGATAACAACCTGGTACTAAGCACACAGGCATCTTGTTAAAGTTATCCTAGCCAGTGCCATATATAGATAGATTATATCTATGGCGCTGATCTTAGCTATCTCTTAGTGGAGGAAAACGATTGTGGCATCACTTACGCGACTCTGGGATTTGTAGTCTTTCTAGTTGCGTATTTCAACAGTTTTACGACAAACTGTGACTTTTTTGACATAGAAATGATTTTTTTAAGATTGACAAACATCATATGTGTAATTCATGGCACAATTCAAACGGGATCGAAAGATAAGTGTTCTCTCTCCATTGACTTCAATACATTATTTTTCCGAAATAAGGTCCCATGGACCGGAAGTAGATGGGCGTGACTTCGCCACTCTATGTCGGCTTTTCTTGGCTTGTTTGAAGGTGAGTGGTGATGAAAAATTACTAAACTGCCATTGCCTCTAGTTTACATAGCTTAGCCAAAAGCCCAAAAACAAATAGTTAACTAAGGTGGTGGCTAATGGATAAGTTAGCTCAAGGTTTAGCTATGGCAATTTATCATGGGCGTAGGCTAATGTACTGTAGGCCTATACTTAAAGGTGGGGTAGGTAATTTTGGAGAAACCAGCTCGAGTGCGCTAGAATTTGAAAATACACAGCCGGAACAAATCTGCCACTTCCTTACAGAGCCCCTCCTCCAACACACACGAACGCGCACATGACCAATGAGGGCACGAGATAAGTTTGTGCACAGATGAAGGCTGACAGGCAGGTAGGCCATCCAGTTATTTTAGCCGGTCCGGCTAAAATGATTGGTCGTGCTTTTTACAGTACTACGGCTTCCACAGATGACATTTTGAATGGATTTTTTGTCAAAGCACTTAAGATATTCATTGCTATCGGGATGTTAAGAGCATTCCATGGAATATAACAAAAAGTGTATCTCGAGCCGGTTTCTCAAACGTACCTACCCCACCTTTAATTTAATAAGTTCATTTTCAGGTGAATACAGGTGAATACAGTAAAATGTGTATCTAATATTGCAAATTAGGCGTTACATATAGCCTAATTAAATTGCGCCAATTTGCATGCAGTTACCAAGGCATTGCAGGGGAAAAGGATAAACAAATAAAAATATATACATATCACCTCACAACTTCCCCAGATAGTCAAGTCAGTATTTCCCCCTGAAATGTTATGTTTAAATATGCAGATTAGCTTTAAATCTATATATGAATTCAGACAAGTAGTAAAATGAACACCATTTATGTGTTTTTTGGAAGTTTTCTTTCCATTAGTGAAAGAAGACATGGAAGCAAAATAGACCAAAATGTACAAGTACATGAAAAAACGAAATGTTTGCCTGTAATGTCCTTAAACAGGAGCTTCATAGTTGTGATTGTTGTCTGCTCTTGTGCATAGTGTTAGTAGAATTATGTTGAGTATTAAACAATTGTGTGAGTGTGAGGGTATTAAAATAAATGTGTCAGTAAGTCTTTTATAAATTATTATGGGACGTGCCTTTTTTCCTCACTTGAGATCCTGCCCCCCAAAATGTCTGTGCACGTCCCTGCTCTGTTGAACATTAAAAAAACAGGAAATATTGTATCTACACTAATCTTTCCATGTAAAAGCAGAAGTCAGGAAACCAGCAGCGGTCACATGACGCATGCGTGGGCGGGGCTCTGCGTCTGCACCGACCAATAGGATCTTAGCTTTGCTCCAGGTCCCAGCCAGCTCCGTGGGGGGAAAAAACTCGAGAGGAGACGAATAACGGTACACACTCCAATATTTATGGAGCCGATGTCCGCATATAAGTGCACCGCATCCACTCTCCCGGTGCATGCGTGAATACATGCGTTTGGAGACGGAAGCGGGGAACGGCGTTTCGGGGAGACGAAAACAAGCGGTCCACCATTGTCTGCGTAGAAATAAGAATGGCCTGGATGTGGAAGGTAAGAAGGGCTTTCTCTCATATTTACACCCCCCAACAAATGGAAATTAATGAAAAAAGCGTGAAACCAGCTTCTGACGTGGTGGTCTTTACGTTAGTGTGCGTTTCAGCAGATGTTGTGTTAAATATGAGCTCATGGTGGTGATGCTGCGAGGTAATTTAATCTCTTCTGCTTTCTTTTTTTTGGGGTGGGGGAGTCGGAATTTGTGATTTTCGCTCGTGCATATGAAGGATAGCAAGGCCATAGTGTTTGTTTTTATCTTTTTATTGCATTTAGTCCATGTCTGTGTGTCATTTCTGGTGATACAGAGCAGGCAGATGCAGCCAGCTGTGTTCACAATATGACACGTTCAGGTGTTCACATGATGAGTGAGGAGTTTACAACCTCCACTGTGGCCTTCACAGATGAGGAGAAAGTTGACAAAAAGTTCCTCAGTGACCCCCACTGTCCTCTTCTCTGTTTCACCCTTTACTTTTCGCTTTCATTCAGGAAATGTCCCTTATTTACAGATGTTGAAATGAACAACACTGTAAGAGCTGAAGATGTTGTTGATGATATGTGACGTATAAGCATTGTGTTTGTCAAGTATATATTGTTTTCTTTATCTTTAAAAGGCTGAATACATTGAATGACACTTTCCCTTGCAAAGTGACTTAACAAATAAACAAGTTGGCAAGGCATTTTTTGTCACTCGCCTCTCTGTTTTGACCATAACATGTCAGATATAAATAGTACATGATGAAATAGTTTTTTGCTAATAATTCAGTTTTATTTTACTCAAACTCTTGTTGTTTAAGTTCATATGCCAAACATTTACAAAATCACATAAAACAACATTTTCAAAGTGAGAGATTGTGTTCCAGTTGTCCATGAACACACTTTTCATGTCTACAACAGCACTTTATCTTGGTAAAAGCAAATATTTGGTCAAAAACATTGTAGAGTGCTATCTTAATAACATTGAATGTGTCACTGTTATTGATCCCTCTTTACTGTGGAGGTAATTAAGATGAATGAATGTGTTTATTTCTGTTAGATGTTGTGTCATAGTAAACACAGTCTTAGTTTGGTGTTGTCAGACTTCATGTTGTTTTCTTATTTGTATTTGGCCAAAGTTAGGAGTTTCTTATTCAGCTGATCCAATGGTCCCACACCCACTGGAAAAACATCTTAGTCAAACAAATGTCCTTTTACAAACTTCCTTACTCTGTTTTTGTTATCTGAGCCACGAGATGATTTCACACTAGATTACACACTGTAATATTAGAAAGAAGTGGGACACAAAGTAAATGAGCTGTAACTTTAAATGAAAGGACGCCAGTTTGCTTGTTATTCTGATGGCTATTAGGTACATAAATAAGTAAAGATAGTCAGACTCAAAAGCCCATTTATGTCTTCATTAGGCTACTGGAAAGTGCTGCTGACATCACGGCATGCTCACAGTTATACACTTTACTCTTTCCTTGCTCTATAGTTAACATCTCAACTAGATCCAGCCAACTTGTTGCATGGAATGAGACAGAGAAGACATACAGTGGAACATCTGGCACGAGTAAAATGGCATCTTTCTGCTGTTAGATGCTTGTTTATGAAACAAACAGTAGACTTCTGTTTGATTGTTTTGCAAGTAACTGTTATGGATGAATGGATAAAGTGAGTGAGTGATTGATTGATTGATACATTTATTTAGAACAAGTCAAATTAATAATTACAAAACTAAAAATGTTGCAGTGCATAGTCATGTAAGAGAAAACAAAACAAAGTGACATTTACATCAACAACATTAGCAACACAAACAGTCCCACATCTAGTGTTCGAAAAGGAGTTAGAAGAAGTATGATTTATTTAATCTCACCCCTTGTCCCTAAATAATTTATAATCTATAATCTGCAATAATTATCATTACTATTATTATTAATCATTATTGTTACCATTACTATTAATCTGCTTTACTTGTTGATTGACATATACACATATATATATATACATACATACACATATATACATATATACACATACACATTCACACACATACACATATATATACACATACACAATGTGTATGTGTATATATGTGTATGTGTGTGAATGTGTGTATGTGTGTGAATGTGTATGTGTATTACACATATATTACACATATATACATAGATACATACAGTCAAACACCCTCCCCATCCCTGTACCTGGAGAAAATAATGTCTGTATTTCCTCTTGAACTGGTTAATTCTGGACATCGCTTTAGCTCCACGTTCACACTGTTCCATAGTCTCACTCCACAGGTTAGGGTTAATGTCTGGACATCGCTTTCGCTCCACGTTCACACTGTTCCATAGTCTCACTCCACAGGTTAGGGTTAATGTCTGGACATCGCTTTCGCTCCACGTTCACACTGTTCCATAGTCTCACTCCACAGGTTAGGGTTAATGTCTGGTCATCGCTTTAGCTCCACGTTCACACTGTTCCATAGTCTCACTCCACAGGTTAGGGTTAATGTCTGGACATCGCTTTAGCTCCACGTTCACACTGTTCCATAGTCTCACTCCACAGGTTAGGGTTAATGTCTGGACATCGCTTTAGCTCCACGTTCACACTGTTCCATAGTCTCACTCCACAGGTTAGGGTTAATGTCTGGACATCGCTTTAGCTCCACGTTCACACTGTTCCATAGTCTCACTCCACAGGTTAGGGTTAATGTCTGGACATCGCTTTAGCTCCACGTTCACACTGTTCCATAGTCTCACTCCACAGGTTAGGGTTAATGTCTGGACATCTCTTTAGCTCCACGTTCACACTGTTCCATAGTCTCACTCCACAGGTTAGGGTTAATGTCTGGACATCGCTTTAGCTCCACGTTCACACTGTTCCATAGTCTCACTCCACAGGTTAGGGTTAATGTCTGGACATCGCTTTAGCTCCACGTTCACACTGTTCCATAGTCTCACTCCACAGGTTAGGGTTAATGTCTGGTCATCGCTTTAGCTCCACGTTCACACTGTTCCATAGTCTCACTCCACAGGTTAGGGTTAATGTCTGGACATCGCTTTAGCTCCACGTTCACACTGTTCCATAGTCTCACTCCACAGGTTAGGGTTAATGTCTGGTCATCGCTTTAGCTCCACGTTCACACTGTTCCATAGTCTCACTCCACAGGTTAGGGTTAATGTCTGGACATCGCTTTAGCTCCACGTTCACACTGTTCCATAGTCTCACTCCACAGGTTAGGGTTAATGTCTGGACATCACTTTAGCTCCACATTCACACTGTTCCATAGTCTCACTCCACAGGTTAGGGTTAATGTCTGGACATCGCTTTAGCTCCACGTTCACACTGTTCCATAGTCTCACTCCACAGGTTAGGGTTAATGTCTGGACATCGCTTTAGCTCCACGTTCACACTGTTCCATAGTCTCACTCCACAGGTTAGGGTTAATGTCTGGACATCGCTTTAGCTCCACGTTCACACTGTTCCATAGTCTCACTCCACAGGTTAGGGTTAATGTCTGGACATCGCTTTAGCTCCACGTTCACACTGTTCCATAGTCTCACTCCACAGGTTAGGGTTAATGTCTGGACATCACTTTAGCTCCACGTTCACACTGTTCCATAGTCTCACTCCACAGGTTAGGGTTAATGTCTGGACATCGCTTTAGCTCCACGTTCACACTGTTCCATAGTCTCACTCCACAGGTTAGGGTTAATGTCTGGACATCGCTTTAGCTCCACGTTCACACAGTTCCATAGTCTCACTCCACAGGTTAGGGTTAATGTCTGGACATCGCTTTAGCTCCACGTTCACACTGTTCCATAGTCTCACTCCACAGGTTAGGGTTAATGTCTGGACATCGCTTTAGCTCCACGTTCACACAGTTCCATAGTCTCACTCCACAGGTTAGGGTTGATGTCTGGACATCGCTTTAGCTCCACGTTCACACTGTTCCATAGTCTCACTCCACAGGTTAGTGTTAATGTCTGGACATCGCTTTAGCTCCACGTTCACACAGTTCCATAGTCTCACTCCACAGGTTAGGGTTAATGTCTGGACATCGCTTTAGCTCCACGTTCACACTGTTCCATAGTCTCACTCCACAGGTTAGTGTTAATGTCTGGACATCGCTTTAGCTCCACGTTCACACAGTTCCATAGTCTCACTCCACAGGTTAGTGTTAATGTCTGGACATCGCTTTAGCTCCACGTTCACACAGTTCCATAGTCTCACTCCACAGGTTAGGGTTAATGTCTGGTCATCGCTTTCGCTCCACGTTCACACTGTTCCATAGTCTCACTCCACAGGTTAGGGTTAATGTCTGGACATCGCTTTAGCTCCACGTTCACACTGTTCCATAGTCTCACTCCACAGGTTAGGGTTAATGTCTGGACATCGCTTTAGCTCCACGTTCACACTGTTCCATAGTCTCACTCCACAGGTTAGGGTTAATGTCTGGACATCGCTTTAGCTCCACGTTCACACTGTTCCATAGTCTCACTCCACAGGTTAGGGTTAATGTCTGGACATCGCTTTAGCTCCACGTTCACACTGTTCCATAGTCTCACTCCACAGGTTAGTGTTAATGTCTGGACATCGCTTTAGCTCCACGTTCACACAGTTCCATAGTCTCACTCCACAGGTTAGTGTTAATGTCTGGACATCGCTTTAGCTCCACGTTCACACAGTTCCATAGTCTCACTCCACAGGTTAGGGTTAATGTCTGGACATCGCTTTAGCTCCACGTTCACACTGTTCCATAGTCTCACTCCACAGGTTAGGGTTAATGTCTGGACATCGCTTTAGCTCCACGTTCACACTGTTCCATAGTCTCACTCCACAGGTTAGGGTTAATGTCTGGACATCGCTGAGATACAAAATGTTCTTCTGGTTGTACGGACCCTATGAATTTCGAATGGAAATGGTCTCCTTGAATTATATCCCCCCACTCGTTGAGTGAATACTTTTTGGATGTTTCCTGGTAAAACGTAACTTTTGCCTTAAACATGATTTGTGCC